TTTCCTGATTGAACCCAGCACATACATTAACAGAGGAAACAGGTTTAGTTGTATATAGCCTTTCACTGAAACAGAGGCAGTCAAAGATGAGCCCTTCTTTTTATCTTCCTTGCTGGTTTAACAGTGTGATCACCAGAGGCAAAATCATGGTGCTGTCTGCCATTAACAAAGACTTGCCAGATTTAGGAGGGTATAGTTTCAGCTGCGTGTTTAAGCCTGGTGTGAGGCACCTAAAGGATGAGATGTCAGAAGAAAGACGTTTAAATTACGAGGGCAAGTGTTTGATCCAACCAAATGCCATGTCCTTTTGGCCCTCAGCAGAGTGATCTGCTAAGCACCAGGTTTAGTTGTACTGGGGGCAAGGCAATTAATTGTGTTTTTCTGCGTTAGAACTCTTATCAGTTCCCGGGGTCAGAGCTGAACTAGATGCAGAGAGGTCTGAGCAGAATGTTTATGTTTGCTACTTTCTGAAATATTCAAATATGTGGATATAATTTCCATTGCTTTTTCTTATAACTTTATATAGTCTTTCTATAGGGAGGTAGAGAGTTCTTGTTAAAGGTCCGTTCTTGAAGATATCCCATCCAATTTGTGCATTGGGATGTATTTGTATTTCCCGCATGCATGAAGGCCCAAAACACAATTCTACATAAACCTACTTTGAACTGTCTGCTGATCTTCTGTCCGTGCAAACGATATGGCCATCAATTATGGTGAAACTGTAAGAAGTGGAATAAATGGAAAGGGAAACCTCTGAAAAAGGTTGCTTTTGTTACAGGCTTTGTCTAAACTGGGGAGAATTACTATCAAAACTGTTGGGATGGGTTCCAGATGAGTTTCCCAAGCGTTAACTTCATTGGAATTTCTTATGCAAAAAGAATTAGTTGTATTAATTTATTGGACTCAATATAAATATGTAAATTATTTAGCATGTGTGCTGCTGTGAGATATTTATGACCCTTATGTATATGTAAGATAGGAGACTTCTGAATGAGAGCGTTCGTTGGTGCAGGGCAAACACCGTGAGCCATTCTGTCCCGTTGTATGTGGCTGTAACAATTCTCTATATCGTTATGTTGAAGAGGTAGGAACTGCTAAATGCCCAGCCCCCTGGTTCTCAGCAGTGTCTGGTTTTTTGGGGGGTGTGTGGGCAAAAGGAAAATGTGACGAGCTACGCAAACTTTAACAGGCAACGACAATGACAGGTTATGGAAATTGTTGTATAACTTTGATTTCTTCTTTATTTGTACTTGTGCACAATAAAAACCCACCTTTGTTGTAATTATAATTAATGTCAGCATCAAAAACTGAAAAAGGTGTCCGTTGACTGGAAAATTCTGCTCAGCTATTCTCCTCCAAGAGTGCATATTGTGCTTCTGAAGGACAAGTCTATTTAAATGTTTGTTGCTGCTGCTGCTTGTATCACAGGAGAAAGAATTTTTATGCCGAATATCAGACCTACAAGATGAACTGAGACACCGAGACCATCATATAGCCGAACTGGACAAAGAGATTCTGCACCTTCATGAAAATATAAGTGCATTGACCAAGGAATTAGAGTTTAAAGGGAAAGAAGTTCTTAGAATACGCAGTGAATCCAACCAACAGATCAGGTATGAGTTTTTCCACTCTAAGCTCAGATGTGTATTGTTTCATTTGTTGTTTTACTTAAGAAATTTTAGAATTTGCAGCTTTTAGTATATCCTTTTAATGAAGTGATGTTATATATCATTCAGTCATCTTTAGAAAAAGCTGTGCCCGTTACTCGTAAAGTTAGTGAATCTTACCACACAGTTAGGCTGCATTTCAGTGAGACATTTTGGCATATCTTAGTAACAGTCTGCTCAGGTGTTGGGTTTTGGTGGTTTTGTTTTTGTTTGTTTTTTTTTAATTCATTGTGTTTGTTTATTTAAAAAAGCATTAAAGGAGATGCATTTTCCATGAAATAAGCTAGAAGATTGGAAGACAGTAAGTAGTGGGTTTTGACAAATGGGTAATTCCTTCTGTGTTGTCTGATACTGTGTAAAAGCCATTAGAAGCATGGCAGAAAATCATGATGAACAAACGAGTCTGATGTTAGAATAACTCTTTTTTTAACAAAAAAATAAATTAAACAGGATGCATGAGCAAGATTTAAGCAAGAAACATGAGAAAGAGCTGGATGTCTTGACAGCAGATCACATCAGAGAGAAACAAAGCATGCTGGCAGATTTTAATAAGACCCAAGAGCTGCTCAAGGAAATTAATTCAGCTTTACAAATTTCGTAAGTTTTGTTGCGTTAAAAAAATTTGTATGTAGCTGCGTTTGAGTGAATAGTTTGTTCTGGTGTCCGTAAGGTGCTAAAGAGAGATGCAGATGTGCAAAAACCTCAGCCAAGTATGAGGCCTAATCTTGCATTCTTTAGGCAAGACAAATCTATAAGCTTGAGGGGAATTTAGTGAGATAAATTGTTAGGGATTTGAGACCGAAAAATTTCATTGAAGGAAGATATTAAATCTGTGCAGTTCTTAGAAAATTGGAGAAACCATTATTTGAAATGGTTTTTTTTCTCAAACCTCAATACATCTTCTTTGAGAACACAAGTGTTTCTTCAACAAGTTTGTAATGAGTAGTGTTTGCTGTTAAGAAGTCTGATTACAGCGTGGGCGATGCAACCATTTTCAGGTTTGCTGACATAAGGAAAATCACTATCTGAAACGGATTAGATGAGCACAACACTAACAGAATACTTAGAGTGTCTCTGACTCAAAATGCCACCCAGGGTTAGACCAGTTCTGGGCAGAAGTGGTGCAGCAGCAGGGTATCATCTAGCCAGTGTTTCCCTGTCTTCCCCATCCTTCGTTCTTTCTCTCTGTCGGTGATGTAACCCATTTGGACAGGGTTTCTGGCTGAGGTTTCCTCATGCATCGAGGGCTTCCTGTCACCAGGCCGTCACTGAGAGGTTTGTATTTGCAGCACAAAAGATTTATGGCAGAGAAAATAATTGGTTCTAAGTATCTGCTAGAAAACTTTTTGAAGTAAATATCAATTAAAAATGGACAATAAAGCCCAAATGCATCTAATTTGTACTTGATAATGAGCACTCAGAAACTGTCCTCAAATGGGAGGTGGGTATAAAATTATAGTTCCTACTCCCTTGTAATTGTCCACATGCACACTCTTGTGCCCTGATAAATGTGGTAACTTGCCGTTCAGTGAACTAGGTGTAAACTACATCCCGTTTACTGCATTTATCTTGTATGAGAAACATGTCTGTGAGCAGCCACCACAACTAGGGTTTGGAACTGTCTACCCTGATTTTTTGTCCAAAGAAGTTGTTTGTTTTTCAGTGTCCTGAAATTTCCTGCATTTAGTTGGTTCCCTACTCCTCGTTCTTGCTGAACTTAGAGCTGCGAGGAAGCAGCCACTGGCCTAAAGACAGCAGATGTTATCCAGGTTGCCCTCACCTGGTTTTCAGTGTGTTCTCTCTCCCTGCACTGGAGCGAGAAGCTGACAAAAGAGGAAACTGTGTGGGGAGAAAAACACACCAAAAACCCCACACACAAACAAACAGAAGAGTTTTATGCAGCCATTTCTTAAGTAACCGTTTCCAGGTTCGGCCTCACCTAAAGCATGGCCTTGTGAACATTTATGAAATGGAGAATCTATCTTACAGTAATTGAGAGTGGGTATCATTAATTAGGCTCTACAACTAGAGTCTTTAAATTACACATCATCTTCTTGAAACAGAAAAAAACGCCAGTTCTCTGAAATATCTGAAAATAAAATGACAGCTGTGCATAACTACAGACCATACTCTGGGGATCCGTATACAGTAGCTTAAACCACTGTAAGATGTAGACAAAAACACTAAGCCAGCTGAGCATATTTCTGTTCTGCTGAGTCAAGTGCCTTTTCTGTAAATAAAACCAGTCACGTTCATAATGTTTTATGTAAATACATTATATAATTTCCTCAGATTATGTACAGGTTATTTGAAGGTTATACATATCACTGCCTATGAAGTGTTTTTTCCAGATGCAACTCAAAGTAAAGATCACATAGCTGCTTCTGAAGGGAAAATATTTATTTAAAGTGAGAAATTATGTTTACTTGCAAGTGCCTTGTGGAGTTAAGTTTGAGGTGACAGTTTAAGTTCATAGATTTTTCTCAAGCTTTGTTTGGGCTTTTTTTTTTTTTTAATCTTTTCATTAAGTTTGTTAAATTTCCTGAATCTGTTCTGAAACTTGGTTCACTAATCTATAGGAAGGCTGCCTACGTGAGACAAGTATTTTAATAGTTTCCTTTGAAACAGTGTTTAGCATCAGGAGCATTATATTTATGTTTCAAAGAGACACCAACATTTGAAATTGTCGTGTCTCCAAAACTTGTTCTTTAAGAAGAAACAAGGAGATTTATGCGCTTACTTGTACAATTCCTCTCTCAGTTGGCTTATTTCACTTCTCTCCTTTAATGCTTTCCCACCTGGCATTTCAAATTTCCTCCTAATTTTTTCAAATGTTTATCAATTGTTACATTTCTCTTAATCTAGATATCCTAATGTCCAAGTGTTACTGCTTTTCTTGTGCAGCTCATTCCTTTATTTCATCTCTAATGGTACTAAATTGCTTTTCTGGAGAGGAATTAGTTACCTATTAGTCTCCACTGTTGTTGGATATCTTTGTCCCAGTATGTTCCACATGAACTGAGGAAGACGGTGCCAGCCTTGTCTGTCTATCCAGTTTCTCCAGTATCACAAATGTGTCTTCATTCAGACTAGTCATCTGTAAAAAGAACGACACTGTTTTTCTCACCGAGAAAGTGAATTGCCAGTTTCTACAGTTTACATTAATGTTATGTACAGTGCAGTATAGTCCCTACATTTGACATAAGAATCAATCTTCACTATGTCTTCTGTAATTATGGTTTTGAATGCCTTATTTTCATTTTGACTTCCAAGAGGCCTTTTTTCAAACACCTAATACCCCATGCACAAGAAGGATGTTAATTTTTTAGAATTTTGCTCAGATTATTAGTTACTAGGGCAAAGGTTATGGATATTGTTGATTTTTCTCTTTTTTTAAACTAGCTAAAGCTTAGTGATAACAAAAATTAATTTTACTTCAAGATGATAAGAAAGTCATCTTCTGTTTTTACTTCCTGAACTCTCTTTTGTACTTATCAAAGATGTGACTATTCACTCATCATTTAACACTGGATCAGGCTAAAGGTGGTATTCTTCTTTCCTATAAAGTTTAGAAGAAATGGAAGAAAAATATAAAAACAGAGAATCAAGACCAGAAGACTTGCAGCTTATCTCAGAACTGAAAGACCTAATTGCAGAGCGGGACCAACTCATAAAGAAATTGATTGTAAGATTTTTATGCTCTCTTGGTTTAATATCTTGACAGATATAAAAGTTGATCTAATTCAAAATGTTTGAAAAGTATTTGAAGAACCAGTCCTGCTAGCACGTTGTTCGTATTTTTAACACATTATTCCTGTGGTTCCAGTGACTCGTAACAGTAGAACTAATGAGATACAGAGAGTTTTGCACCATCAAGCATAATACATTATTGCAAAAAGTCTTTCAGTATGACCTTGATCCGACATCTCCTATCACCAGTCCTGGAATAAGCCAGCCATGTAAGAAACAGTCTCTTCTGTGAGGTTTCTCAAGACCAATTCCTAATCCACTGAGCTTCCCAAATTCAGAGCACAACACCCTGACTCAGATTAGATCCTGATTCAGAGGCAAGAAGGAATGAGGAGATTCAAATTAACTGGAGATCAGCAGTTAGCTCTACTGAATCTTTCCCAGTGTATAATCCATTAGGCTGTGTTCACTCGCAGGAGCACACAACTGCGTAAATAGAAATTATTTAGTGTTTACATAATATATAAAATATATTAAGCATGAAATGGAATTTTTAGAATTACCAGTTTCTTTAGAAACAAACATAAACTGACTTGAGATCATTTTATAGGCAGATTGGGCCACCGACTGACTGAAAATGCATAAAAAGAAGTTTCTATTTGTTCTTCTTTTTAGGAGGACAAAAAGTTCTATCAGCTGGAGCTAGTTAACAGGGAGACTAACTACAACAAAATGTTTAATGCAAGCCCTAATGTTGGTGTTATTAATCCATTGGTGAAGGTATGTTCCATGGACTTCATTGCTAAAGTGAAGGAAAAGAGATCTAAACTTAGGATATAGTAAAAAGAAGAAATCTATGTGTCTGTGTGTGTGCCTGCGTGTGTACGTCTATCACTCCTGAAGGACATGTTCAAAGCAAGGAACACAGTTTTCCATTTGTCTCTACTTATTTTCATGTGGGTTTGTTTCTTTTGTGTTGCTGAGCTCCGCTGATGTTGTGGCCCTGGTTTGCCAGACAGGCACGACACAAAATGTAGCTCTTTCTCCCAGAACTGCAAAATTAAAGTAGCAAAGTGACAGAAAGGCAACAGAGGGCAGGAGCGCAGCACGGAGCAGAGGACACTGGCACCCGAAACCAGTTTTAGTTTAATATTTTTTCTGGGTTATTTTGGAAAGTGCAAGGGCAGTTTCACTTGTCAGGTGGTGCTCAGGAGGGACGGGCATTACAAAGATAGGGAAAGGGGACACTAAAGGAAGGGAATAAGGGTGAAAGGGAAGGGCATGGAGTGAGTGAATGGAGAAAGCCAGAGTAACACTGGAGATGTTGAGCGGAATGAGATATGGGCTGTGGGGTCATCAGGAGATTGAAGTCAGTCCCTAGCCTTCTCAGCCGTTGTCTCCTCCTATATGCCTTAAAACTTCACTGGCAACCTTTTCCCGTTCTCTTCCTCCTGCCGAATCACAGCCAGTGAAGGCTGCTGTACAGGCAGGCATAGTAGCCTCCCTGTCGCTTCAAAAGCCAGCAGCATTTGGGGAACACGAACAGACTGTGGTAGGGTACCTTAATCCTATTGCTTTTCACCACTTCCAGAGTAAGAATGAGTGCTCTGACATTTCCTTCCTCCTTGTGATAATCCATAGGTTATTTCACCTGCATGGAAAGGGAAGAGGTTTGTCCCAGCTGTAGAGGCAGAAGAACTTGGGAAGGTTCTGAAGCAGAGGGTGACCCCAGGGACACAACATGAGCAGCTCAGATGCCCGAGAGCTTCAGTGATCAAGGTTCAGGCTCTGTTCTTTAAAAGGAAGTCCGGCTCCCTTATCTGAGATCAGGCTGTATTATTTAGCTAAGCCTTACTGTCATTTCACGTCACATCAGCCCATTTCCCACTGCTGCACGAACTCTGCTGCAAATTGTCAGTATTCTTCTACGTTTTTCAGGAGCCCAGCAGCTCTCAGCAGCTTCTCTGCGAGTGCCTGACTCTTACACCTAGCTGCGTAGGAGAACCCAGTTTGGGCCCAGTAGAGGCAATGCCAGGGCTGCCAGATACAATTTGAACACTTTGTTTTTATGTGACGAAAGCTGTTGGGAAATTTTGGAAGTTTGTCTGAACTGCTCATTTATGAAGACGTGAAACGTAACCATCAAGTATATAATCTCGTGTTTCGTGTGAAATCTGAAGCGTTTGGGAACAGTGCTTCAACATCAGATTTCCATAGTGATAATTCATATATTTTTTATAATATACTTCTATCACTTAAAACTGTTGAGACTTCAAAACCGCCTTGTGTGCCAGAACATTTTGATCTCTCATTTCACGAGTTGTGGACTATGTTCCTGTATTTTGTCCAAGCACGTAGTGTGTTGTTGGAGAATGAATTACAAAGAAACCAAAAATCTCATTCTCTTTTCTTTTTCGTAATAAAAAGACAGAATTTATGAGTTACTGCAGGCTTTGCATATTAATGCAAAACTACAGCCATTGCAGTATGTGTTACAGCTTCTCTAATTTATGCAATGGATCTGTTTAGAATTACATTGTTCCATCTGAAGTTTCTTAATACTTTGCATGAATTTCATGGAAACAATACACACAATTTTGGCTCTCCAGATCTGACTGCTTCAGAAGCATAGATTGTATTATAGAGAATAAGCTATAAACTAGTATTTTTCTAAGCGCTTATGTGGATAATAGACATTTTCCAGAAGTGAAAATGTGAAGCACACAGATGTAACTAGAGTATGTTTAACACCTAGTTTTAATTACGGTGCATATTACCTTGCAGGTGTATTTTACATACAGTGAGTTACTTTTTCCAAACTGCTTTTTCCACCATAATGTTATTTCTTGCTTCTTCAGCTACTCCGGAAGAAGTGAAGTATATGGGACAATCTTATTTTAATCTTCTGCAGCTAATGATCTTTCACTCTGATGCTTAAAAGAGATTTGGGTTTTTTTCCTGTTGTAGCTTTCTGTTAAGTTCTTGGGGGTTTTTAATTAACACACCCACCAGTGTGGCTGCAATTGGTAGTGTTTGCATCTGCCAGCCCTGGAGAGGTCAGGCCCTGAAAGCAAAGCTAGCAGAGCGCTAAGGAGAAGAAATTACAAACAAGAGGACTCACTCTGTCTGCCTTTGAACTCTTGCCCAACCTTGGGTAGAGCAGCTCTTCCGTTTCAAGTGGAATTCTACTAGAAAATATTATACAGAAACAACATGAGATTCCACTTGCCTTTCACTTTATGAACTACACAAATTTGTACTAAATAAGCCCTTAAGGGGTTTTTCTCCTAGCTGCATTGTTAGGGTTGCAGGTACATAATTGAATGAAAGTATTCGTTATATATTCAAGTAATACCTAATTCATGAGAATAAATGAACCCATTCATTCAAAAGTCCTATTTTTGGAAATAAGGCTTTTTTAATATTAATATTTTATTGTGGACATGGAATGTTCGCTAGAAAGTACACAGGGTGTTCAGCCACACAGCTGTTCTTAAAAAGATACAGGATTATTTGAAGCATCATTCTACATTAAAGTATCTATACAAGAAGAGAGGATAAGTATTGATTCCTTGTTACGATGTGTTATGTAGAGTAAAACAGTGATATAAAAATACAATTCTTAAGTATTTTGAGTCCCTTGAAATACTATCAGTAGGAGTGTAGAGAGCATAGAGAAAATGGGCAGTTGTGCCACCTGGTGCCTACCGGTGGCAGCTGAAGTAGCATTAGAAGCCTGGCCTTTTCCTTGTTGAAGAGAAGTGAACTCTGCAATAACCTTTTTGTCTTTCGCAGTACTGCTGTAGCGCTTGCTGACCGTCAGGGCGTAATTGCTTTACAAGAAATGTAGCTGCGTTTCTAGGTCCCGGGTTCCAGTTGCCAAAATGTGCTGCAGTGCTGGGGTGGGACCTGTTGGAGAGATCCACTTTTTCCATTCCTGTAATTTGCTGTAATTACATTTGGCAGCAGAGCTGTTTCACCAGTATCAAGAAAAGATTTAAGTAAACTTGGGAGGTCTAACAGACTAAATGACAATTTTGTGGAAAACTTGCGATCTCCAAAGTCTTAAACAGAGCAAAATGTTGTATTGGAAGCTCTTATATAATATACTCGTTGCTTATGACACTATTCTTTAAGAACTTCATCATCTTGATCAGAAATCTAATAAAATGTGTGGTGTTCTGCTCAAAGCAAATAGTAAAATTACAACTGGGAAAAAAGCCCAGTCTGTCGCAATTGCTCTCCTTCAAAAAAAAAAAAACCCAAACCGGCCATCAGTGCAACTCTTAAATTTGCAAATCTCCTCACCTGTCCTGGTGCAAGAAGCCTTCCTTACATTTGTTATTTTCAATGCAGCAAAAGAAGAAGAACGATAAATCAACAAACAGGTTTGTGAGTGTCCCCAATCTAAGTGCTCTGGAATCTAGCGGAGTGGTGGGCAATGGACATCCTAACCGCCTGGACCCCATTCCCAACTCACCCATCCACGATATTGAGTTCAACAGCAGCAAACCACTGCCACAGCCAGTGCCACCCAAAGAGCCCAAGACGGTTTTGAGGTGAGCACTGCCTCACCAACCTTTTTTTTTTCTTTTCTTTTTTCCTTTTTCTTTTTTTTTTTTTTTGCTTAATTCAGGACAATTTTGCATTCTGATCAAGCTGAATCCCACTTGCTTTATGAGCCTTTCAGAGGTACAAGTACTTTTATGGCATTTTTTTATTTTTACATTACATTTATAACCTCTTTATAGTATTCCTTTTTATTGTAGACCTTGTTGAAATGTGGAGTATTCTCTCACTTTTTCGTAAGTCTTGAACTTTGAAAACCTCTTCAGATTAATTCATGTGCTTCCAATTGTTTACATATATGAACAATTGTTTCAAATGTTTATTTACTGATTGTCACGTAGGAATTGATACTAGCACAGAATTTCTTTTACTGAGTATTATGTGATAATGGTTTTTACACAAGAAAACTATTTTCTGTGCTACATGAATGTTTTGTGTTTCCCCTTTCCTCACCTATATCGGATTGCTTCATAGGAGTAACCTTACTACAGCAACAGGAAATGTGCATGCTTCGATGCTTAATGCTGAGCTTCCAGTCATCAAAACCAGCATTAAAGCCTCAAGTAATTATCTCACAAATTAATATAGTGAACTGAAAAACTTAAAAGTGGCATTTGAGGGGCAGGATTTTAACCTTTTGGCTTTATGTGCCTACACATTAAGTGCACTGAAGTGCTGTACGCTGTATTTAGTAGGGGCTGGTCTCTTACCTCTAAGTTGGCTACTTAAAGCAGTGTGCAGTTACCAGCTCCACACTCACAGAATCACAGAATGGTTTGGGTTGGAAGGGACCTTAAAGACCATCCAGTTCCAACCCCCCTGCCATGGGCAGAGACACCTTCCACTAGACCAGGTTGCTCAAAGCCTCATCCAGCCTGGCCTTGCACACTGCCAGGGATGGGGCATCCACAGCTTCTCTGGGCAACCTGTTTCCATGCTTCACCACCCTCTCCCAGAAGACCTTCTTCCCGATATCCAATCTAAACCTCCCCACTTCCAATTTAAACCCGTTACCCCTTGTCCTGTCACTACAGGCCCTTGTAAAAAGTCCCCCCCAGCTTCCTTGTAGCCCCTTCAGGTGCTGGAAGGTGCAATAAGGTCTCCCCGGAGCCTTCTCTTCTCCAGGCTGAACAAGCCCAACTCTCTCAGCCTTTCATCATAGCAGAGGTGCTTGGTTGTATACTCTCTCTTTTGGTTTACTGCAAAAGACCACATCCCTAGCAACTACTAATTATAAAAGGAAACAAATAATAGAATCTAAAGTAGATGAGAGAATACGGTCTATTTCAAGAAAACGGTATCTAAAAAAACCAAACCAAGCATTGCTTATTTTTTCCTGTGCCTGTGATGTGCATGAGTGTGCTCAGGTATCTGTAACATGCATGTGCATGGACGCATGGACTGTGATGCTGGGCTTTCCATTCCAAATTGCTCTGTATTGTCCAGTAATACAGTAGGGATTGTTTTATTGCTGATTTTTATTGATATAGGAAGTTAACTGTGGAATTAAGTCAGATTTAAGGATTGTCTCTTGCTCATTTTGTGAAAAATCTTAAGTATTCAAGGGGGAAACAAGTCGTCTTTGCAGCGCAGCGGTTTCTTTTTTCCTAGAATACTGGTGTCTTTGAATTGTGTGCACGAACAACAGTGCAAGTGAGACTTGTGATGTGTTAACTACTCAGCTGCGTGTGTTTCTGTTCAGTTGCCAACCCGTCTTTGTGAGCACATGTCTACAAATATGATGCTGGCATCATATTTTTGAAAATTAACTCTACCACAGGAAAAGGATGCTAAAAGAGGGTCTTCTACAGTCCCGCTTTTCCGAGAAAACCCTTTTTATTCTTCCTGAAAGCCTACAGCTATTTATGAGATTTTAAATCATGCTTTCCAAAATACTGTTTGCCCATCCTGTAATGTGGCTTCTGAACCGACTTGTCCGTGCTGCTGGTGCTCTCCAATGGAGTGGATGATCACAGATTCCGTAGGGCGACATTAAATCGTGTCCCAGGGCACGCCGGTAATCAACCCACGGAGAAACGGACTGGGTGCTTCACTGAATGTTCTCTGTGACGGGTTTTTTGTCTCCTAACAGTTGTGGTTTTGGGTAGCTAGGGCATAACTGTGGCTTTTTTTCCTTCTGTGAATTTAGCCCTCCTCAGACTGACTCTTCGCCCGTGGCTTCACCGGATCCACAACGCCAGGAGTGGTTCGCCCGATACTTCACGTTCTGAGAGATGAGCTGTTCTTGTGGCACAGCGTGACGTGGCCCGTTCGTGAGAGCATGACCTTAAGTAAACCCTCATGTGAACAAGCTTCCCTGTAATTTGTCAAACACTGTGAATGAGAAAGTATTTGTCTTTCTGATTTGAAACTGCACTGTATTTCATGTTCTGTTTGTTGGAATCACTTGACATGGTACTATATGATGTGTGTAATTATAACTATTATTTTTATTTAAAATGGAAGAATCTTTAAACTTTGTAATTACTACATAATAAATTTTGGTAGAACAAACATCATGCTTTCCCCCTTTTTCCTATAAACGTGTTTTCTTTGATTTCAGGTAAGTCTTTCCCCTCCAAAAATTACATAATTGCATGGTTACTGTAAATACAATTTGACTTTTAAAAGGAAAAAGTATGTATCTCTCACTCTGCACTGTGGGCAGGATATGTTTAATACATCCCAATTCTATTCTGTTACTTTGTAGCAGTGTACAAACTGTCTAACATTTAAAAGGAAGAATGTGAAATAAATCAAAACTAGTGTAGCTGTTAGCCTTCAGAGCAGAGTAATTCTGACTAGAGAATGAAAAAAGCCACAAACGAGGAGCTGTTCATTAAGGGGGGGCGGGGGGGAGGGGTGACTCCTTACCTGTTCCTTATGAGACTTCACCATCTAGTTTATAACGAAACATTTTATCACTGAATTTAAGCAGAAACTGTTCCCACAAGTTAGGTATTTCCTTTCTGAATATTAAAAACATGCTTGAAACATTTAGAATACTGTACTAAGTATCTCTGCGTAAATCAAGAATCCACATTTTGAGCATATATTCCTGCTTTGGGTAAAGTTCATGTCTGAAATGAAAGAAAAACCCCCAAGCCCAACCACCCACCTTTTTCCCCCTTTGTACATACTACAGGTACAGATCTTTCAGTAAAACCTGATTACCTTCCCTTGTCTGTATTCAAGTTGTTTTCTTCTTCTCAAACTGATACATGAAAATGTTTTTTTCAGCTAGTGAGCATGATTCTCCAACCTACACCTTTTATGACGCCAGTGTTGCTCAAGAAATTTGCTGCAACATAGAGAAAACTACAGCTTCTTGACTTTTTATATTTTTTTCATTCAAAGATTACCACAGAGTAACTCAAACTGGTAGTCTCAGGGAGAATACTGTCTCTTTGTTTTATGAATGTATTTTTAAGCTGAAATCTCTTATCTTTTAAAAGCAGGAAAAAATGTTTGGGCTATTTGAATAAGGATTTAGTTAGCTTACACAGAGGTCTTGAACTTCAGGGTTTCATCTGAAGCCCTAACGACACCCTGTTTTGCTATATGCACCAAGGTGAATACCCAGATGACGATACTTGCTAATTACAATGAGTTTTGTATGTAGTATATGTATAAATGAAACATTTGTATGTTTTCATATAAACAATATAAAATCTTCTAAATGAACATTTTAAAACTGCTACCTTATAATTCAGCTTGAAAATTCGCTGAAAGCTGTATTCTGGTGATGCTGCCGTGGATTAAAGATGTATACCGCAGGTTTTCTGTAGCTGGTGGACTCAGCTGGAGGTATATGCAACTTTTTCATTTTAGAAGAAAGCCATATTGGGCAAAATGTCAGATTTCTTGGCTGTTACCCAAAATAAAATACACGAGCTCATTTTGTTAAAATGTTCTGAAGTAAGCGTTGCGTATTTTTTCTTGCATGCTTTTGCAAGGGCTCCACCCTTTTCTCCCATCCTCCGCTTCACTGGTACGTTTTTGCATCTGGAATCTGAAGGTGCCAACATCCGCGATCGGCTGTTCGACAAGAGGTGTGCCCGCTGGGTTCTGCTAGCAGGCCCAAGTCTTCCGGCAGGGAGGAGAAAGGTAAGAAGCGCTCGGTTACCGCGGCTGCCGCAGTCGGCAGCTGTTCCACTACTAAATCATTCTCCTGAAAACAAAAGCCAACCAAACAAAAAAAGCCCCCAAACCAACCAGAAGAAACTAGGAAAAGAATTATTTTCTACCAAATGGCATTGAGAACGGTGTAAAATGGGTTTCTAAAAAAAGTCGGTATCGGGCATTTGGGATTAACACAGGAGCTTGGATTATCACGATTCCGTTGTGGCCCCGATCCTGGCAGTGTCCGGTATTCTGGAGAAAGGTGGAAGCGCCCAGAGTCATGAGAGGCCAGTTGGGCAGAGTTCTGCCGGGGCTCTGCTTGCAGATGCGTGCGGCCTCTCCTAGCTCAGCGGGCAGCTCTGAGCGAGGAGGCGCAGGGTCAGCCCGAATTTCCATGGTACTGTCTGCAGTGGTGAGAAACTGGCTTGGCTCTCAGGAGCTCTCTCTGCACTCTGACACCTTACATCTCCTTATCAGCACGTAGGGTAACCAATTCTCCCAACCCTCTAGTTTTTTTCAGAAAGAATAATAAAAGGTCAAAATGCAAACAATAAGGAATGTAGTATTGTAATCCTTACTGTGTTTTCCTATGGATTGAGGGAAGTGGCAGGGTACACCTGATGCAGGGGGAAAAGGCCGGAGAATCCTCCATTTCATCAGCAGTGTAATCACCAGCATTAAGGCCGCATTCAGCCCAAGGTCTAGATCGCTCCACGGACGTCCGTGGTGGGACTTTGATCAGCGGTGAATTTTCCAGGGAGGCAGAAAACTGCTGTAGCTGACCCATCTGAAAGGATCTCCTCACACAGGGAAGAATTATGTCCCGAGAACTGCATGCTGTTTTTTTCCGCAGCAGGAGTTGTACCCAGAAATATTCCTGGAGGGGGGGAATGCCCAAAGATGGTGGAAAACCAAGCTGCAGTCAGTGCCAACGTAGAAGTTGCTTTTTCAGACTGACACATTTTTCTCGGTTACTTTGGCATACTACATTTACCTGAGACTTCAAGGAAAATAATAATATTTTAAAGATTTTTTCTATAATATAACTAAACTTATTAGTATTATGAATGTACAATAGAATTAGATTTATAAATTTAATAGTTTTTAAGTTTTTTATATATTCTTCCTATGAGAATTCCTGGCAATAAGTTACATGGGTCGATATTAAAGAATTTTTAACATTCTAATTTAGTCTAAATGAATTTTTCACTTCTGTTTTTCTCATGACTTGTTATTTTGGAAGAAAAAAATTGGACTATTTTCTAACTGTTTTGAGTAGTTTCACGTTTAACATGTATAAGTTTAATTTATAATTAAATGTGTCAGATTTGTAATCTTTGACTTTAAAGAGTAAGTATATGTATTTTAAAACTGAAAATATAGAATATTTAGTCTTTTTTTTTCTTTTATGATATACCTGTCATCTTTTTTCCCTAAATATTTTCTATAATGCTGCGAGAATCTTTGTTTTCATTCTTAAAGCAGAATATAAGTTTTTCACTCGAGGTAGATTAGTCTGGGGACCTAAACTTTCCTGCTTTTTGAGCCTAGAAGGCACTTTCCACAAAGGACCTCCTGTGATGAGTTTCACTTCAAAACTGAAAGCAGGAGTCTTTTGGGGGAAAAATGCTTCCGTTCCTGTAACTGAACGTGGTGGGATTCTGAGCAATAGACCATGCTGTAGCACCTGCCTGTCTGATGTGGCAGCTGGGAAACAAATGGAGTCTTGTCTTTTCTCTAAATTGTTCACAAAGACACCATCCCAGTAACCATGGCTAGAAAGTCCCAATATTAACTTCTGGCTAATGGACATTCCCTTTTTCCCCTGCTTTAGTCTTACTCTGAAACTCTATTTCAAAACCATAGGACATGAGGAATTCCTAAAGAATATGAGGAGACTTCACTCCTCCATGGCAGGGGGGTTGGAACTAGATGATCTTTAAGGTCCCTTCCCATTCTATGATTCTATAGTATCAGAAATCAGACCCCTTCGTGATGTCAGAGGAATCCCCTGCTTGTTTAAGGTTAATTTTAAGTTACGTGTGAATTTTGTTAGTGATCCCTGTGCTGTCCGCAGGTGAACTTCACCAATTCTGCACTGAGAAAATCAGACCCCAAGTCTTCTTTAATTCCTTTAGAAGGAAAATGACAGAGTTGCATCACTTAAGACAATAGTGATCTTCAACCTCCTCCTCAGTCAACAGGCAGCTTCAAGGGTGAATCAGCCCACTTCTCTCTCTTGATTGCATAAAGACTGTAGAGCAAGTGCCTCGGTTGCCTAAATTTAGGTGTGAGGGACCCTAACCTGTCATGTTATTTTTTAACAGCATTTGCAAAAATATATATCAGCTTTGAAAGACACAAACTGACAGGAGCTTCATTACAGGAGCTGTGTTGCTTTTTTCCTGGTACGTTCAATGTAGTCCAGTCCAGTACTGTTACTATTCTTCACAGGCAAATGCTGAACCTTTTTTTACTATAATGAAGGTAAATCTCTCATTTGTAGTATTGTTGTTTAGCTACTTTTGAGCACTGGGCATTGTATCTGCTTTATTTATGTATACATTCCCCAGCAGGATCTTTAAATGGAAATATGGTTCATTTTCAGGTACAATTATAGGCAGTAAACAGCTTGCAGTTGTAAAGCTAATTCACTTTGCAGGGTACTTTGGTCATATAAATAAACATCCGTTTCTTTAGATACACTACAGTAACTGGAAGTATCTGTGGATAGTCCTGGGATCATGTAACAAAACCAGGCAGCCAAGCGAAAACAGAACTTTCCCTCTTCGGCATGACTGACTGCTCAACTCCATGCCTCAGTAACAAAACCGGGTATTTGCTGGGCTCAGCACTGGGCTCTTTTACTACACAGCTGTCGTTTTCCATCACATACACAATTAGACCACTTCAACTCTGTTCATAGAATCATCACAGACCCACAGAACAGTTTGGGTTGGAAGGGACCTTAAAGACCATCTAGTTCCAACCCCCCTGCCATGGGCAGGGACACCTTCCACTAGACCAGGTTGCTCAAAGCCTCATCCAGCCTGGCCTTGAACACTTCCAGGGATGGGGCATCCACAGCTTCTCTGGGCAACCTGTTCCAGTGCCTCACCACCCTCTCCCTGAAGAACTTCTTCCTGATATCCAATCTAAACCTCTCCACTTTCAATTTAAACCCGTTACCCCTTGTCCTGTCCTACAGGCCCTTGTAAAAAGTCCCCCCCAGCTTCCTTGTAGCCCCTTCAGGTACTGGAAGGCTGCAATGAGGTCTCCCCGGAGCCTTCTCTTCTCCAGGCTGAACAACCCCAACTCTCTCAGCCTGTCCCCATAGCAGAGGTGCTCCAGCCCTCTGAGCATCTTTGTGGCCTCCTCTGGACTCGCTC